TAGAAAGAATAAAAAAAGTTTAATTATATACTATATAAGGTGATGTGTGTATTCTTATACTTATATACACAAAAGATGATGGTGTAGTAATCGTTTCTTCAGTGCAGTGTTGATGGTTCTGTATCGCGCAAAGGTCTGTCTGTCTGTCCTGCTCACCACTAAACAGAAGTAAAATCTCCGAAAATAAATAATTTACAAGATATAATTAAGAATTAATATAATTTATTTAAAGATATTAAATACTCATGAATTATTTGAACTGAAACTCCAGCTGAAGCCAAGGTGCCTTGCATGCGACCATTCACGAGGAGTCGCGATACTCTGAGAAGCAACGTTATATACACATTCATATTTCCGAATAAATTCCAGTATTTATTTTAATAAAATAAGGAAATTTTAAGTGAAATACATGGAATACATCAATAAGTTCATAGAAGAGTGATCGACTGGTGGGTTGACTCTGTTTCGTTGCGCGCGCCGATGATGCGATGCGGCTCGTTTCGGGTCTCGGGGGGTTTGTGTGTGTTTGACAGTGTTTAGTGATGTTAATTTCAAGAAAGTTGAATAATTTTTTCTGTTTTTCGTTGAAAAGTAGAGTATTCCTCGGGAGCCGGTATCTTTGTTGCACGATGCGTGGGTACGTACACCGCGCTGGTGCCGATGGGAAAGCTGAACGATCTGCGGCATATATAGCGCTCGGAACGAATTTCGGTGGAAATTTACGGTTAAAAATACTTGAAGATGCAATTGAAAGTATTCAAAAAGAAATTGGTTCAATTGATGCATGTTCATGTTTGTATGAATCGCTGCCGGGGTACGACGTGGTTGCTCACCAGAAGAAAGAAACACACGATCTATCATTGCCGCTGCATCTGAATGCGGTTCTGCGCGTGAAAACAAATACAACAGATCCAAATTCTCTTTTAGAAATACTTCAGGCCATTGAACTCAAACATGGCAGAGATAGATCCTCTACAGCTGTGCGGCTACACAGAAAGCTAGACCTTGATCTGCTCTTTTTTCAAGATGCGCATGCAAACACCATCGAAATACAAACCGAGAAACTCACTCTCCCGCATCCACGGCTCCATAACCGCAACTTCGTTCTCTTCCCCCTCTGTGACATTCAGCCCGACTTGGTGCATCCACCAACAAGAAAGCAGATTAAAGATTTGCTTGTAGAGAACTTGCAGAGGAGAGAAGAAGTTTTGAAGGGTGCATGCAGCAGTTCATCAGATGGAAATACAGCTCCTGCTGTATATACACTCGACGGAAACCTCGCTATTCCTCGCCGATGTTTCGCACTGAATGGCCACCAACTCTGGACTGTGAAGGGGGGAGCTGAGGCGGCTGTATCCGATACCTTGAGGTGGATAGAAGAAGTTCTGAAGAAATATGAAATAAAAGAAAACAACGCAGCAAGCGATACGCCTCCTCCTGCGTTTGCAGATACTCTGCTGGGTCTTAGGCGTTTTCTGCTGCAGGAGCCGCGGGGCCCCAGGCTGATGGGGGTTTTGAATGTAACCCCTGATTCTTTCAGTGATGGATTGAAGTTTTATAACAATGTTGAGGCAGCTATGCAGCATGCACAGAGAATGATAGACGATGGAGCAGATGTAATTGATGTAGGAGGAGAAGCAACAAACCCAACAAACCCAGCCGTGCAAGAAGAGGTGTCTGTACACTCCGAAATACAG